AAGGCAAATGGAATGCTACTCTTTGAAGTAAGGGGGCTGGAATACTCCAACCATACAGTACATTGGTGAGAACATAGCTGGATTACTGCATATGGTTTCCGTCTCCCTACTTAAGGAGAGATATACAATACTTGCACTGGAAGCAATTCAGAGAAGGTTCACTTGGTTGATTCCTCAGTGAAGGGGTTGTCTTATGAAGAATGGTTGACTTGGTTGAGCCTATACCCACTGGAAATGAGAGGCAATCTTTTTAGAGTGGGGACTAGCAGGAAAGTGGATTCAAAGTCACAGTCAGATCAATCATGGACTTTTTTTTACTGTGGACTAGGCTTGTGGGGCCAAATGCTCTATACCTGCTTCTACTTCATTCTTGTTTTTGTTCTGAGTATAGTATCATAGAATGGTAGAGCACTGAAGAAAGCCCCTCAGCCTATTGTCTCTGTGTCTGTGCCTATTGTTCAGTGGAGCTATTCAATTAATTCCCTTCCCTTGGTCTTTCCATGTTCTCAATCCTTCAAGTGTTTATCAAATTGCCTTTTGAAATTTATAGATGAATCAGTTTCCATTACACTTTCGGGCAGTACACTACAGATCACAACATCAAAATGTGTTCCTGTGTTGCTCAGTTCTTTTGCCAATCAGCTTAAATATGTGGCCTTTGATTACTGATCATTCAGCCACTATAAACAGTTTGTCCTTATTTTCTCCATCAAAACCATTTATACAACTGATCATCAGAGATCATCTGTTACAGCCCTGTTGTGGCACAGTGGTAGTGTCCCTACTTCTGGAGCAGGAGGCCCAGTGGTTCATGTCCCAACTGCTCCAGAGGTGTGTAATAACATCTCTGAACAGGCTGATTTAAGAAGAAATATACAAAAAGATATCAGAGATCATCTTAACCTCCTTTGCTTTATGGACGGCAACACCATCTCCTCTATTCTTCTGGTCCATTTCTCACACAAGATTACAGTTTCCTCTCCAAAGTGTCCATTTCTATCAATTAACAGCCTGATTTCCTCACTATGGATATGGAAAGATATGGGGAGGTCATTGATCGGAAAACTTAACTCTGACCTGTGGTCAATTCCTACCCCATCTGTTGCTGATTATTAAATAAAGACTGCTCAGAAACTGAAGTCTGACACTACTCATTCTCTCCCAACTTTAAAAAAGTATAAATTGATACTCGGATGACTGTGGCTTCAATTATCCAATTAGAGTTCTTCAAAGATAATTCATTGGCCTTCCTGAAATTCAACCAGAATTTGAACAGGCCTAAACAAAGCACACCGGAAACCAGCTATCAGTATTCATACGAGGATATACATTCTGATAACACACTCAGGTCACATATGCACAGTTATGTGACTGACAAAATTGTTTGGAAATAGGAGATCACTGGAAAATCACAGAAGGAGGAAAACCTGAGAGATGAACACCATGTAATGGAGAACAGGAATGAATGACATGTTCTAAACAGTCTGTTGTGAAGTTTTTCCAGACCTGTTTCTCAAAAGCTAGATTTGGTTCATAACTAATACGCATAATGCATGTCATGGTAAACCTGAACAAACATGGTAAACCTGAACAAACATGGTAAACCTGAACAAACATGCTTAAACACTTAGAGAAGAACAAGAGCTGAACCCACTAAATAGTCCTCATGAATGCTATTCTGGGCAAGTTTATTAGATATTGTTATGCCAATAGTATATTTAGAGGGCTTAAATGTGTACATTTTGAACAGAAAACTATGTTTTGGTCATGATTACTAACCGCTCCATATATTAATAGTCTGTTTAAGTCTTGGTAGCTCATATTATTTAATCAATCTCAAATTCAAACTGATCCACATGAAGAGAAAAACACCTCGTGTTATGCAACCATTTTTTTCTGTATAATGAAATTTGGCAGTAAACTGATGAATTTATTGCATGAGAATGTTTTTAATAATATATGCAAGGTGGAGGGAAATTTGTTCCACTGTGCTCAGATGTTGTGTTGCGTGCTGTATTTAAAACTGCCAGATAACTGCCAGATTTGGCTTGGATTCTGACAACAACCTGTCAACGTTGGTCGTCATTTCTCTTCTGAAATGTACAGCAACTTTCGAACTTCATGTTTGGCAGATAAATGTAGAAATTCTGACGTTGGCATCCATCACTGACCGCTCACCATCAGCTGCACTGTGGATCACCCCAGCAGAGCCAAAAATCACTGGAATCAGCCGATGTAGCGAGAACTTCATCCTTTCAATTCTCTTGAAATGTCATTAAAAGGGGCAACTAGATTTTTGATAGTATTCTAGTAATAACTACTGCTAAACAGCAAGTCAAATGTCTCCACTGCGACTAATTGCAATTTTTTAAAAGATGTTTTATAAAGATGTTTTCTCTGTTTCTACTTAATCTCAAGCTCATCCAATCTTTTCTTAAACATAGAAAGGAACACAATTTGAACTTGGCATTTTTCATTTCTGTTTGGTTGGTCCAGAATTCTTGGATATGATTGATTGCTCGAACAGACAGTAGCAACACCATAGCTCCAGTTGGGAACTCCGAGTGAAAAGGAACTCCGACAATAAGTTACACTAAAGGTTGATAAAGTTCTTGGCATTGAGATACTACTTTTAAGAGAGGCTTTTAACTCTAGTGACAACAGACTTGCTTCACCAGTGACTACAAACTCGGGACTATCATAAGTAATGGAAGCAGTGCCCAAAGCCATTGATCAATATGAAGTGGTGGTTTTAAAAGCAGTTTGAATTAATATATGCCAATAATGTATCCCGTTTGCTGTCAATATGCCAGAAACAAAGGTTTCCAATAAAGCTGCACAGAGGGAAAAAAAATTCTCATTGATGCTTTCCACATTCTTGATACTCCATTGCTCTTTCATCGAGTCTAAACAGTCTGTATTAATTAGCCCATCAACTTAGAACAACACTACTCATTTAACAAAATGCATGAAAGAACAAAATTCGTAGCTGAATCTTTAATTCTGCCTGCATATGGTGATAGTAAGTCTAATGTAAGCAAGAACAAAAAAAAAATGGCCTTTCAAAAAACTGAACACAAAATTCACCAGACTCTCTTTGAAAATGCTGCAAAATTCATTATGCAATTAAAAACATGAAATCAAAGTACAAAGATATCCAAACACAACTACAATCCTCACAGTTAAAACTTGCGCAAACGAAATATACTTCACAAATTAATGTAATCCTAATGCTGTTGATCTTTGTTTTGATTCAAGCTCGACAGTTTTGTCACTGAATTAGACAGTTGTTCGCAGAGCTAAAATCTTGTATGCAGTAAGTACAATTATCTGCTGCACAACAACATCACTTGACCTCTGCTCATCTCAATGCTGAATCCAAACCGATGCATGCTCTGTCTTTTAAAATTGCTCTAAATCACACAAAACGTTCCCCAGTGATGTACAACCAAGCCATGCAAGAAAAATGCTAGATTGAACTCCTTAGCTGCATTACTGGAGCACTGAAAAAGCCCAAGATGCAGGAGAGGTTGGGAGTTGGGGGAAGACAGTGGACAAAAATAATACCAAATTACAACCTAGATTGCAGGAAATTCACTCCTCCTGGAAATCACGCAGATGGATCTTGATGCGTACTGTGATGCTCTGCTCTCACCATTTTGACTGAATATGGTGATAGGCTATTTCAGCAGTGCCCCAGAAGGATTGTCTGCACCCTGGAGACAACATAGCATGAGTCATCCCCTTTAATAGGGGCAGGAAGGAAGTTGGCAATGTTACCTATCCATATTAACTGTATACTTGTCAGATTTTTATACAGTACAATGAAAACGTCCACTTTGCTCGTCAGAACAACAAAAAGTTTTAATCTTGAGAAAATCCTCTCTCCTGGTGCTGGAAGGATTGGGAGTTTTAATGAAGGCACTGAAAAATTTATTGCAGCAATTTACCACTCCAAAATGAGGAATAAAATGAGTAAATGTTACTGTCTTATCACCTTGCAACAAAAACACAATAGAATATAAATTTAAAATTGCACGCGTTTCACTTGTGCTCACCCCAGAATTATTTTACTCTTCCTTTGTATTTTTAGTTATAACGTAATTTTAGTATTTCTTTACACAGATTCTTCCCCACTTGAGACTTTAAAAAGTTTAGAATGGAATGTATTTTCCTTTTTCTTTTCTCCTTCAGCTTTCACACTTGCTACTTGCATTTTGGAGATTAAACAACCTGGTTAGTTTAGAAGTAATGTATTAAGAGATCCTTTCTGGTGTTTAATTAAAAGCTTGGAAGCTAAGGCCTCATAGTAGAACGGTTTAAATCTTCAATATACTCTTATCCAGCTACAAAAGCAGATGCCATTCAGACAGTATGCTCACTGGCAATCTCCCGGATAGAGAAACCAGGAGTAATAGTCATCTGCAGTAAATTATGAAGATTTTTTAATAAGGCAAATAACCAATTTCATTTTAAACTTACACAGACAATTCCTTTATTTGCTTCCTTGTCTGCAGCACCAAAAGTCTTCAATAAGTTTGGTTTCTCACACATCAAAAATGTCTAATAAACAGTTTTAACATGGGCTGTATTCAGAGGAATCTTCACACAGAGAGAAAAGGGAAGGTCAAGGAACTGGATCAAGACTGGCCTCTCTAGCAGCAACAGCTGCAAAACAAACTCTTTAAGTTGTGTACAGTGTGTTCAATTGCTGGTGCTCACCAGGAACACAAAAAGCAAAGGTTAAATACACATGTTCACTTCTATAAAAAAAACTTGTAGTGTATTTTCATAGTAGACACATACAGATTCTAAAATCCAACTGGCCTGCATGGCATGTCTAAGCAATCATCTTTAATCATTTTTGAACCTTTAACTTCAGGCATTAATGAGAATTTGACAAAAGAGAAAGGAAACAAGAACTGAAAACATGCTTGTTCAAAATTTAAGAGCAGTTCAATTGGCCATTCCAACATTCAAACACAAAGTGATTTACTCACAGATATTTTAAGTTCTCCAGATCTTCAAATGCACCCCTGGGTATTCTCCTAATTTGGTTGTTGTTTAACAGTCTGAAAAAATTAAGAAAAATGTATTATATCCCAAAAGAAGATAACTATATTTCTTTTAAACTGCATTCAATGTTCATTTGTCTTTTTCATTCAAAACTGTTGGATGCAGCGCCTATTTTTTGAAAAAAAAGAATCATTTATCCGATTTCCATTGTCATATATTAATGGGGAACACAAACATTCATTGGTGTTCTCTATAATTTTAGAATTGAAATTATCATTCTAATGTCCACTTTGACAATGTACCAACAGGCTATTAGTACTGACAAAAGTTGAAGCTCATGTTTATTATCTTCTGCCAATTTAAATATCTTATATGATTTCCGGTAAGTTTAAGCTTTCCTTGTGTGTTGTGATTTCAAGTTTAATGGAGATGTGGTAGTTACCGATAAATCGTTCTGATTCTGCTTCTTTAGGTCTAAATATCAAATAAGTCATTGCAAACACAAACATAATATTACTGTGACTGTGTCTCAACTGAAGGAGTTGATAAGAATGAGAAAGTAGCCCCTGAAAACAACATGATACACCCAAAAGACCAAAAATTTGCACTTGGGAAATCTTTTGACCCTTCATAAAAAGTAACCCTTGTTTTCCATGACCTGTTCCTTTCTGAACATCCATCTCCATTGTAATGTGAAACGAATGGGCCTTGTATTCATGTAGCATTCTGATTAACTATCCTCCAAACATCCAATGGCATTTTATCTCAAAAATAATTAGAGTCATAGTCATAGATTCACACAGCACAGAAACAGACTGTTTGGTCAACCAGTCAATGTTGACCATAATTCCAAACTAAACTGGTCCCATCTGCTTGCACTCAGCCCATATCCTTTCAAACATTTCTTATTCATGTACTTACATGAATATCTTTTAAACATTGTAACTGTACCTGCATCTGCCACTTCCTCTGGAAGCTCACTCCACACACGAGCTACTCTCTGAGTTGCCCCTCATGTCTTTTTTAAATCTTTCTCCTCTGACCTTAAAAACATGCATCCTAGTCTTGAAAACCCCCACCCAAGGAAAGACACCTGCCATTCACCTTATCTGTACCCCTCATCATTTTATAAACCTCTAACGTCACCCCTCAACATCCTAAGCTTCAGTGAAATAAAGTCCTAGGATATCCAGCATCTCCTTTTAATCCAAACCTTCCAGTCGCAGTAACATCCTGATAAATCTTTCCAAACCCTCTCTAGCTTAATAATATCCTTTCTATAACAGGGCGACCAGAACTGGACACAGTACTCCAGAAGGAGCCTCACCAACGTCCTGTAATTGGACATTTTCAAGTAAAATCATTCTTAAACTGGACATTCATAACGACAGTCTGTTAAATTTAAGAGACTAACAGTCAATCCTTCTCAAAGTCCATAGGCATAATCAACTTGCATTTTCTTCCCAGTCAAACAATTTGGTCTCCCTTTAGCTTTTAAATATCACATCACCAAAGCTTGTTGTTGAGTAGAATTCAGGACATATGACACCTTAATTCCTCCATTTTAGTCTAAATCATAGAGACAGCGCCAAAATATTCAAACCCTCAAAATTTTGTTTCTGTAAAATCAATAGGCAGCTCTAATATTACAGCAATTAAGAAGCAGTGAACAGCTCTCAAGCCATGATTTAATTGAAAGGATGCATTAGCATTTTATTATTGACAGAGTGTGCAATTGTAAACATTTTATTATTGACAGAGTGTGCAATTGTAAACATTTTATTATTGACAGAGTGTGCAATTGTAAACATTTTCAAGTCTATTACTGCTGTATAGGTTGCACTGCGCACCTACCCAACACTGGAAATTCTACAAGAAGTTAACCAGTCAGCTGCTTTCGTTAACTAATAACTGTTATGGAATATTTGCTGCAGCAGTAATATGACAGGTATTCTTGCATTTCTGAGCCAAATATTGAACTGACATCTCTTTTCACATCAGTTTTGTAAATGCAAAGTAAGCAAGAGACAGGAAAACAGTCCAACCCATCACGCAAACTGCTTCGTCCTTTTCACATGTAACAAGCCTTAGATACAATAAAGGCTCTTCTATTTATCCTGATGTGATTTGAACTAACAAGCCTAACAGTCAAACAGAAACAGACCCTTCGGTCCAACCAGTCCATGCTGGCCATACGCCCAAAGTAAACTAGTCCCACCTCCCTGCACTTGGCCCATATCCCTCCAAACCTATCCGAATCATGTATTTTTCCAAATATCTTTTAAACATTGTAACTGTGCCCTCATCCACCACTTCCTCTGGAAGTTCATTCGACACACGAACCGCTCTCTGTATAATAAAATTGTCCCTCATGTAAGTGCTTCAAGACGAAACATTTTTGATTGTAAAAAATAGGGGTCCAGCAAGTATGCAGCAGACACAAAATGTTGCATATCTTGCTGATGCATTGCAAAGTAATCAACTGTAGCAGCTTCAAATTTTGAAGCTTTCAACCTTCACCTGTTCGATAAAATTATTACATTTTTCCATTTGCAATTCTTAAGTCACAAAGACCAATTACTAGGGAAACAATTAAGGGCTTTCACTGCCCTTTGGTTATTTTTTATTGGTGCTGTTAATAGCTAGCCACAAATAGAAAGATGGCCATACGGATAGAGAAATGGTTGGAGATACAAGAGGCAAAAACATACTGATCCAATTGCTAAGAAATGGCAAATGATTTGCTAAGATAGTTTGTTGAACAATTGCTAAATATTGCGACGTATATTATCTAAACTTAAAACTTAAAAGAATAATACTGAAATGTGCAAACGACTATCAATTTTAATTATATTACTCTAAGAATCATGTGTTTTCCAAATTAAAGGCTGCATCAAAATGTACACAAATGTGCTGGATATCAAGGAATATTCCACACAAAATCTAAATGTTAAGAATGAGAAAGTGGCAGAAGTGGCAAATTGTGCTGCACAAGGAACAGTGTTGAAACCACTACTGTTATATACACATCTGTATAGATGATGTAGAGTTTGGAATCAAAAACACAATTTCTGAATTTGCATTCGGAGCAATGGTGAATACTAAGAACGACTGCAACATACCACAGGATGTACAGTTACAGAATCATAGAGTTGCACGGCACAGAAACAGACCCTTCGGTCCAACTCGTTCATGCCGACTAGATATCCTAAACTGACTTAGTCCCATTTGCCAGCATTTGGCCCACATCCCTCTAAACCCAACTATTCATGTACCCATCCAGATGCCTTTCAAATGCTGTAATTGTACCAGGCTCCACCACTTCCTCTGACAGCTCGTTCCACATATGCACCACCCTCTGCATGAAAAAGTTTCCCCTCAGGTTCCTTTTAAATCTTTCACCTCTCACGTTAAGCTTCTAGCTTTGAATTCTCCTACCTTGGAAAAAAAAACCTTGACTATTCACCCTATCCATGCTCCTCATTATTAGGACAGCACGGTGGCTCAGTGGTTAGCACTGCTACCTCACAGCACCAGGGACCTGGGTTCAATTCCACCCTTGGGTGACTATCTGTGTGGAGTTTGCACATTTTCCCTGTGTCTGTGTGGGTTTCCACTGAGTGCTCTGGTTTCCTCACACAGTCCAAAAATGTGTAGGCTAGGTAGATTGGCCATGCTAAGTTGCCTGTAGTGTTCAGGGATGTGTGGATTATAGGGGGATGGGTCTGGTGGGATGCTTTGAGGGTCAGTGTGGACTTGTTGGGCCGAAGGGCCTGTTTCCACACTGTTAAGATTCTACAATTTTATAAACATCTATAAAATCACCCCTCAGCCTCTAATGCTCCAGGGAAAATAGCCCCAGCCTATTCAGCCTCTCCCTATAGCTCAAACCCTCTAATCCCGGCAACATCCTTGTACATCATTTCTGAACCCTTTCAAGTTTAACAACATCTTTCCTATAACAGGGAAGACAAGAATTGAATGCAGCATTCTAAAAGTGGCCTCACCAATGTCCTGTACAGCCACAACAAGACATTTCAAATCCTACGCTCAATCCACTGACCGAGGAAGACAATCATGCCAAACGCCTTCTTTACTACCCTGTCTACCTGCGACTCCACTTTCAAGGATATTATGCTTCTGCACCCCTAGGTCTCTTTGCTCGGCAACACTCCTCAGGGCCCGACCATTAACTGTATAAGTCCGCGCCGCTTTGCCTTAGCAAGATGCAACATCTCACGTTTATATAAACTAAATTCAATGTGCCACTCCTCGGCCATTGGCCCATCTGATCAAGATCAAAAAATTGGGAAGTGAAGTTCAACACACAAAAATGAGTGCATTTTGCCACAAATAAAAAAGTCATATTACTTGGAAGGTGCAGATCTATGTTGGCTACAATGTCACAGTGCGAATATATCAATCAGTAAAATTAGCAGCACAGGTACCAAGGCCATAAAGAAGGCAAACCAAACACTATGCTTGTTTCTACAGTGAAACAGAATTAAAAAGCAAGGAAATTATGCTAAATCTGTATCAAACCCTTTCCCACACTGCATAGTGCTGTTTGCAGTTCTGGTTTCCATACTATAAAAAGGAGATAGTGGCAGTAGAGAAGGTACAGAGAGGAATTTACAAGCATGATACCAGGAATAGATCAAAGACTGGATCTTTTCCATTTTGAGGAAATAAAAGGTTGAGAGGTGGGTGGTCTACTAGAAATCTTTAAAATTATGAAGAATGTGGATAGCGTGAGTACCAAGAGATTTCCTCCTGTGGGAGAGAGCATAAATAGATGTCATCAATAAGAGACAGCGACCAAGACACGCAATAGGTAATTCAGAAAAAAGTTCCTTATCATAAGGGTAGTGGAAAAGTAGAAATTGCTACCATGAAGAGTGGTTGAAATGGTTGATGTGTTTAACGGCAATTTAGGTAAGATTTCCAGAGAGAAGACTGTACAGTGGGTTACAAACGGAATGCTTATAAGTTTAGTACACTTTGGATCTGTATGTTAAAGTAAAATGGAGGAATAAAGCAGGTCACGTCACTAGTTCGGAGTTCTGCTAACATGAAACCTGTGCATTTTAATTGCTAAAAGATGAGAGGGACACTAGGTTACTTTGTTGTAAAGCAGGTGCAAGGTGTTCATACTTGCATACAATGGCAGAAGTGCCTATACCGATAGCAGACAATCTGTTAGCCTCTGAAGTCCCAGGAAGACTGTTAGATTTTAAGTGGCTATTTTTTGAACTGTTAATTTAATTACAAGATTGAGTAGGATTGAGGTATAAGGAATAGCTAATCAGTGATCCTCCCTGATAACAAGAATCATGTCATTCAGGTTGTCATTGAGATGAGATCTGAGAATGAGTATATTCATGGGAAATCACTGAAGGGTTGGCTTGCATCCTTTCCCAAGTATCAGTAAATCTCCCAGAAACGTTAGTCTACCAAGATGGGGCTACAGGCCAATAGGCTCTGTCCTACAATGTGCAAGAAATAACCCTCATTGAGAAAGGCACAGGTTAATTATTGCAAACAATTCTTGCAATCCTTGAGTTCTGCACAGACTTTCATTAGACATTCATTAGAGATGAAGGTTTGAAGCCAGAAAAGTCTTTGCACTGTGGGAGAAAACCGGAGCATCCAGCAGGAACCCGTTCAGACATGGGGAGGATAAGCAAACTCCACACAGACAGTCACCCAGGACTAGAAGCAAACACGGGGTCCCTGGTGCTGTCAGGAAGCAGTACTAAACCACTGAGCCAAAATATCAAATTCAGCCAGCAATAATGGATTCAGGAAGGCACCTCTGCTTGGGTAAAAAGTGGCTTTGACTAATTTGAATAATGTGTGAATATTTTATTTCTGAAATTAACTGTTATTTGGTCAAATTACTTTTCATAACACACTGCTGAGTCTCTACGTATTTGTGCATATGTGTGTGCATGTGTGCGTGTGCATGTTTGTGTGTGTGCTACATCTCAAGAAGAGCAGTTGGAGATATTAGCGCAGTTTAAAGCAAATGTTAATAATCTTTACATCTTTGCTTGGGGATATTTTGTTTACAATAAACAACATTTTGTTCCTTTAAGAACCTGTAAATGTGTTTTCGATAGTGAGTCATTCACATTCTGATAAATTGGCAATATAACTTCCCTTTTTAAACATGACCTTTCTTGTGATCATTGGAATGGAGCAAGGAAAGGTATCAGTTCACTCCTAAATGAGCTCTAACAATAACCTGTGTATGACTGAAAAATAAAGAGGTAATACATCTTGCATTTATATAACACTTTTCATGACCACAGGACATCTCAAAGTGCTTTGTAGCCAGTAAAGCAATTTTTTCTATTGAATGTAGTTGCCGTATTAATCACATAGGAAATGTGATTGATCTTCAACGAACGCCCACAAGTAGTAATGTGATAATGGGGGCTAGTGGGAGGTGATGGCCTAATTGTATTATCGCTGGACAGTTCATCCAGAGACCCACGTAATGCCCTGGGGACCTGGGTTCAAATCCCACCACGGCAGATGGTGGAATTTGAATTCAATAAATATCTGGAATTAAGAGTTTAATTATGACCATGAATCCATTGTTGATTGTCAGGAAAAACCCACCTGGTTCACTAATGCCCTTTAGGGAAGGAAACTGCCATCCCTATCTTGTCTGGCCTACATGTGACTTCAGACCCACAGCAATGCAGTTGACTCTTAACTGCCCTCTGGGCAATTAGGGATGGGCAATAAATGCTGCCTAGCCAGCAACGCCCTCATCCCGTGAATGAATAAAGAAAATAAAAATAATGATCAGATACATAATCTGGGTTTTCTTAGTCTGAATGATCGAGGGGTAAATGTCAGCCAGTTAAATATCTCCTCAGCTCTTTTTCAAAATCATGCCTTAAGAGTCTTTTATCAGTCGAGCAGCTGGTCAGGTCTTTGGTTTATTATTTCATTGAAAGATGGCACCTCCAACAATGTAATGTTCCCTCAGCCTTGACTTCTGCATCCAAGGCCTGGAGTGGGATCTGAATCTGGCATCTTGGCGATTCAGAGGCAAATGCACCATGAACTGAGTCACAGTTGACACAAAAGAAGAAAGAGACAGCATAAGAAAATTGATTTTCTTTCCAAAAAATGACAAAGACAGGAATGATGTAGAAAATGAGTTAAGGATTCGGTCAAAATGTTGTGGAAATTGGTGAATTTGAACATAAACTGGCTGTTTGTTTGGATTAGAGGACCCTTTTCTGGGAACCGCATGAAGGTGAAGAAATCCGGAGGAGAATGAAAATGAATCAGGTGCAAGAGAGTTTGAATGATGATATTGGAAGGCAGCAACAAGTTAGGAGGAAAACAATAAGAAAATAATGAAAAGGATACGATCAAGATCAGTAGTCATACAGAAATCAGGGCAGAAGTTGCATAAACCAAATCAAGTCAGAGCAGAGGAGTAAGACTGAGAAAATGGTGTTGACATCCTGTTGTCTCTATTCCCAGCTGTGGTAACTTTAACAAAAGGGGGAAACGGGGTAATGCTTTCTGGCCCGTAAACTCTCAACGATGATAGTGCCAATTAAGGATGTTAAGCAAGTCAGCTCTGATGCTTTGCAAATTTCCACAGCTGCCTTCAGGATTTGTCCTGTGCAGACCAGCTCAGGGTGGGGGTTGCATCAGTTGTATTTTGAATGCAGATCAACTTGGAAGGAAGTCTTTGTGAAGAGGCGAAGAGGACTTAACCCATCACATGAAATTTGTGAAGAATGTTTAGAGGGCTCTCCCGTTCCTGCCCTATCCCCAGCGTCCATCTGCCCTCTGAAATATACAAAGCCAGCACTTTCCATTCTTCTCACTTTAAAAAAAAAGTCGCTGTCCAACCAGCAGCAACAGAAACGGCCACCGAAGCCAGTCAGAAAATGGCCTGCATTTCCAGTGACCTGGATCTCTTCCCACTACCCACCAGGGTCAAGAGATGTGACCACAAACTAACTGACAACTCAAAACCCCGGAAGGTTTCTACTCTCTGCCTGGGACATTTACCACCCAGAAACTCTACCGTGAAAATCCAGCTCCAGTTTATTGGGCAGATATATCCTGTGGACCTCTGGATATAATTAATCACACCTTATGCCACGAACCAAAAAAATAACATAATTGTACTGTACCTTTCACATCTTTGAATATGTCCTAGTACTTCATAACCAATTAACTGCTTTTCAAATCTGCCATCGTCGATTGTCACAGAAACCCATCTAGTTCAGTGATGTTCTCGGGGGAAGGAAATCTGCCATTTTTACTTCTCCAGCCTACATGAGACTCGAAATGCACAGCAATGCAGTTAGTTCTTGACTACCCTCTGAAACGGCCTGGCATGGCACAAAGGCAAATGGGGACAGATGCTGACCTTTCCAACTGTACCCACATTTTGTGAAAGAACAAAGAAACCTGTTCTGCCAGTGAAAGCCAAACAGGCAACATAATTTCTCAGCTAAAATATAGCACCCACAACACTCTTTCAGAACTGCACTGAAGTATCAGCTTGGACATATGTGCTCAAGATAAGTGGCAATGAGTTCACTATCTTTTGGCATCAAGTATGAGTTTTACCAGCTCACTGAAGAATCAACAATATTTTCACAAAATAAAATTAGAGATCAAATTCAGCTAAAAATAAGTGAGTTGTACTTCCATTCCATTGTGTGGTGTAAAAACTACATTTGTTTGGGCTACAAACTAAAAAAACTGGAAAAGATATTGCTTTAAACACTTAAACACACACAGGCAGACAGTGCTGCAAGTGGTGACGGCAAAATTACTTTGAGTTCTTTTATTTACATTTTGGCTCAAGAATATTACATTGGATTGGCTTCCCAACTCATTTTATAATCACTCTCTAATATTTCTATTTTGTCGCTGATGACAGGCAACTGGAAGTGACACAGAAAAACACAAGTCTAGCAGTGCGCTGCTGCCAATAACTGACATGGAAGAATGAGTCGAAAAGGGCACTTACAGTGTATTGAGGTGCTTCAAACGTCTGAAAGCTCCAGATGGGATATCTTTGATTTTATTGAATCGCAAATCCCTGATAGAAACATAAAAAGAAATAACAAGGATCAATCACAACTAAAGGAATCCGTTTTCAGAAAGATCCTACTTTTGCTTTTTTTTAACTACTCAAAACAGGTCTTGTAAGATCTTACAATAAAATATGAATTTCGACCATTGTGTAAATAAAATCCTGTATATGTCTTTCCCCTCCTTTATCTCTTCATAACATGGCCCGCAAAAGTATAAAATATTTTCTGTGGTATTGTACAGATTTTATATTGCTCCTGTTTAAATAATCTGATGTAAGCTCTCACTGAAAGAAAGCATTTTGTAGAATCATAGAATCCTTACAGTGTGGAAACAGGCCCTTTGGCCCAACAAGTCCACACCAAACCTCAGAGCATCCCACCCAGACCCATCACCCTATAACCCACCTAAACTAAACCTCCCTGAACACTACGGGCAATTTAGATGGCCAATCCACCTAACCTGCACATCTTTGGACTGTGGGAGGAAACCGGAGCACCTGGAGGAAACCCACGCAGACATGGGGAGAATGTGCAAACTCCACACAGACAGTCGCCCAAGGGGAATCGAACGCGGGTCACGAGCACTGTGAGGCAGCAGTGCTAACCACTGTGCCACCGTGCCACCCCAGAAGACTGAGGCACCAAATCTTAGAAGATTTAATGACCAGCTCATACTTTTTTTCCCAAAATACATTGTACAGCATTCTAATAAAAGTAATTCAAAAGAAGCAGAACATTGTCACATCGAATCGACTAAGGACAATTTCAATACATTGCAGCATCCATCTGTGAACTGCGCTGCAAACTGTAACAGTCAGTAACCATCATGTCAGCATTCTATAGATCTGGGTGATCCCAAAATACGACTTGAGATGAGTGACTAATAAGGAGAAAAGACAAAAACTAATCTCTCAGTAACAAAGATTGTGGGAAAGTGTTGAAATTGGCCAGATAAAGAGGTACACTGTCTGAGAAGCTTTTGGATGGTTGAATGATTCACAGGAAGCTACGCACTGTTGTCAAAAACCACAAAAGGCTTGCGTTTATCATAAAATATGTACAAAATGGCATCATATAAATGAAAGAAAAATCTGCAGATCACATGTGACTGTCACCAGTGTCTGCTTTGAAAAGCTCAAACCGACAATTTGTTCTGGAGGAAGTTAGAACAAATCTTGTCACTGAGAGTACTGAAATATAACAGCATGGTATAAATCAACTTCCATCTGCAAACAGGCTGTATGGAAAACAATCATATTCCAGTACAACTGTATGAAATACTTCGTATTGCAAAGATAGATTTTATGGAAGGAGACAATTACTTATATGCACTGCTCTGTCTTTCTCAAGTCTCCAACTCCGAGACAGCCAAGAAGACCTGGAAATGCAAGGAAAGTTACACTAATGCCTCAAATCCAACTTTAATCAAGGTTGCTGCAAGTGATTGAGACATATAGAGCTTCATTCAAACTACTGGTCACTGGTTTAATCCATGAACTAATGTCTGAAGAGCACAATCCTCACACTCAATATTAATTCACGTAGGAAGGATTGATTTTATTTTAATAAAATTACAATAAAATTAAAATCTGGAAAAAAAACATCGGCTTGCAAGGACTATTTCAGATCCTTCAAAACAATTCACTAGTACTAAGCACACAAACTAAATGATCATTTTGTACATATAAAGCAAGTCAGAATCAACATAAGCATGAATTAACAGACAAATTACAGCCAGTATTAACACATGGAATTGCAGAGATGATCTCATATCCCCAAACAAATGTGGCAACACCTACATTCTTTCCAGCTAGGCCTTCAGTCTCGCTCAGTGGATTTGGTCCTCACGTCATCTACAACAGTAGTTCCACTCGTCCAGAACTCCTTGAAGATTAGTGTTACCCAAACAGCACACCGCCCCCCTCCATGCAGAATCTCCTTGGCTATGTTTAGGACAGAACTGATGACAAATTCTCCAGTGCTGCCTTTTCAGCCCACAGAACCTGCTTTGCCATTCAATTAAATCATAGCTGATCATCTACCTCAATGCAACTCTCCTGTATTATATCACCGACATCTTTAGTCTCCAGAAATCTAGCGATTTCTGTCCTGAACATGCTCAACGGTTGCATATCCACAGCCCTCTGACATGGAGGATTTCAAAGATTCACCATCTTCAATGAAGAAATACCTCCTTATCTCAGACTCGGAACAAGGGGTAGGCCATGTCTCCTGGTTTTAGACTCACCAGTCGGGGGAAACATCCTACCTTCAACAACCCTGTCACATCCTGCAAGACTTTTGTACTTTTCGATGAGGGCACCTCGTTCTTTGGAAATACGGAGAATACAGGCCCAGTTTCCTCAATGTCAAGGTTAACATGCAGGTTCAGTCGGCAGTTAGGAAGGCAAATTCAAAGTCAGCATTCATTTTGACAGGGCTAGAACACGAGAGCAGGGATGTACCGCTGAGGCTGTATAAAGGTCTGGTCAGACTGCATTTGAAATGTTGTGAGTAGTTTTGGGCCCCGTATCGAAGGAAGCTGGTCTTCGGGGTATCCAGAGGAAGTTTACAAGAATGATCCCAGGGATTAAGGGTTTGTCATATGAGGAGCAGTTGAAGTCTCCAGGTTTGTGCTCGATGGAGTTTAGAAGGATGGTTTGAAGAAGATCTCATTGAACCTTACAAATACTGAGAGGCATGGCTAGACTGGACATGGAAAAGATGTTTCCACTAATAGGAGAGACCAGGACCGAAAGGCACAGCCTCAAACTGAAGGGACAATTCTTTAGAACTGAGATAAGGAGTAATTTCTTCAGGCAGACAGCAGTGAATCTGTGAAACTCATTGCCATGTAGAGGCCAAATCATTGCGTGTATTTAAGACAGTGATAGTTAGGTCCTTGATCAGTTGAAGGGTGCAGGCAGAAGTCAGGAGAACGGGGTTGAGAAACATACTAGCCATGACTGAATGCTGGAGCAGACCTGATGGACCAAATGGCCTCATTCCGCTCCTGTATCTTATGGTATAATGGTCTAGACTCACCAGCCGAGGGATTAATTTAGCAAAAGCCCACTGCATGTCATAACATGAAGTATATCCTTCCTGAGGAAAGGATACAAAAACTGTGAATAATATTCCAGATGCAGACTCACTGAGGCTCTAAAGGTAAAGACCCCATAGTCTTGCCAAATCATACGGCTGCTCTCTCATTACAGACAGAAATGCGGTGGTGGTTTAACCTGAGGCTCACCACACCTCAGGCGAGGGGAGAGACTGAGAAGCAGCGTACTTCATGGTAACCTCAGCCGGTGTGGGGACTGAACCCGTCACATTGTATCACAAACCAGCCGTCCAGCTATCGGAGCTAACTGAGCCCCTACAGTGCCGCCTTCTTCTTCAGCTCTGTTTTGCCTGCAGCTCCCCTGTGTATCTGGCCATGCAACGTTCATATTTTAGCATCCTTCCTGTTAGTACTGCTTTCAGGTTAAGGGTCGCCCAGTCACATGATGGATCAGTATTTGTTATTCTTCAAGAAAATTACATTTGGTCCCTTCACAATCATTGCAAACTTCTAAAAGTCCTTTTCAAACATTCTTAAAAACTACAGGCTATCCAGACAACTTGTAAAAAAAGTTTCCTTACTGAACAGTTTCCAAATCAAAGGATATCAAGGTAGCAAGGAAACGGGAATAAAGGATATACTAGGACTGAATACAATATACTTAAAGAGCTTCCTTTGTTAGTAAGTTAGCAGTCATCGATTAATGCCTGCAATAAACAAATGAATGTCAAAGTCTATGACCATTTGAACTCAAGCAAGTGGAAAGGGACTGGTTACCAACGTCCACGTCAGTAATTGGAATACACATGATTAAATTACAACATACACCTTCATACACTGAAGTACAAACCCAATAGATAAAGAAGATACATAAGCATTAATCAGCAAGACCATTTCAGGAACGAGAGAAGAATGAGGGAGGATCAGCCAGGAAGGGGTCTCAAGACCTTGTCCTATTTTTGGTGACTGTTAATTTACGTTGCACTTCCCTTTTTGAAATAACTCTCCCTTGTAAAGGCAATTTCTTTGGAACATGGGTAGTGTCAGAAAATGCTTCTGTTGATAAACGTTTGTTCGCCTGACAAGCTGGTAAATGCTGATTGCTGGTCACGACCTGCCAAAGAACATTCTCCAGCTTTCCAGGCTCCAGACTTAAACAGTTTAACTTCATTTTAATTGCTCTATGACAGGTGGCCATGCCTTTAGCTGTCAAGGCTCTAAGTTCTGGAATTCCCTTCAAACACTGTAGCTCTCTATCTCTCTTTCCTAAGGTCCTCCTGCCTGAATATTTTAGTTTCAAATTTACTTTCATAGGACTCATATCAGATGCCTTGGGACATTTACTTACATGAAAGGTATTATTGAAATATAAGTTGTGCTTATTTCAAGGAATCTGGCAGTCTGAAAGCCTTGGACAGCACTGAGTTCAACTGCAAATGGAATAGAATGAACATTAAAAACTAGGAACCTCTTCATGAGCTAAGAAAAATCTTGGTTCATGAAAGAGCTTGATAAGCTCTGTGTAAACTCATGATTGAGCACTGTGAAAACATATCATGAGTATGAATTGCTTGTAAATACATCAGGATTGAACAGTAGCTGTGCACTACAGGACAAAGATGCCAATGTTGGACAATCAGCCTGTTCCTTACAGATGACAGATCCCACAGCAGTGGAGTGACCAATGAGAAACAATGCAGGTAGTAGCTTATCTCGCAAATTCTTTAAAAGTTTTGGTTCATTTGTTCATAACAATCACCAAGCAAGAAACTATAATGTTTATGTGCAAGCCACATCATTTTTAAACAGAGTCATACAGCACAGAAACAGGCCCTCCAATCCACCGAGTACATGCTGAACATAACCCCAAACTAACTAGTCCTACTTGCCTGCTCCTGGCCCATACCCCTCAAAACCTTCCCTATTCAGGCACTTATCTAA